TCACACCATTCGAGCTACATCATAGTGGAGAGAAAGCACGGATCTTCGCTGATCTCCTTTTGCCACAGGCTGCCGACATAGACGTCCCTTGCTCTCCCTCTTCCGTTCTGAAGTACCGGGACTTGCCGATCAAAGCCCGCGCGAATATGCAAAAGGCTCAAATCCGCATGCAACAGTAAGCTAACTGACGTCGACTTCCATGTCCTTTCCTCGAGGGAGACCTTGTTTGGGTCCTCTCCGACGAATTTGCGCTCGAGCAGGACGTTTCGCGCAAACTCCTTCCGAAATGGTTTGGACCATGGGAAGTCACTTCTGCCATTGGAGACGACCCCGCAGGTCCTTCCTTCGTGATCAACATTCCACCGCACCTTACAGTGCATCGGGTCTTCCACGCGTTGAAGCTGGCCATCTACACGCCACCTTCAGCTGACGAGTTTCCCGGACGTCGATCACAGGATCCGCCTTCCATGGACGGACATCAGGAAGTTGACCGAGTCATCACGCACCGCAAGTATGGCAACAAGCCAAGGCAGTACAAAGTCACATTCAAGCAATGTGCGCCTGACGACACTCGGTGGATCTCTAGTGCAGACTTGCAGACTTCTGCACCCCTTATCTTCGCTAACTACGAGAAGACACGACTTGCCAAGGCAGCAGCTCGTCCCACCCGACCCATCCCGGTGTCGGACAGACAACTCCGCCCTCGCACGTAGCTCGGTCTTTTAAGAGGGGGAGTGTGTTACATCTTCGACGCCACACGGGTCCTACTGGACCCGACGTAGGGGTAGAGGGACACAGTAGGGCCGAAGGCCCGACCTTGGGGGGTACTACAGGCCGTAAAGGCCTTACCTTGGACCAGACCCGACGGGCAGGCCCAAACGATATTACCGTTTGGGCCTGGCGGCGCTCTTGAGGCTGCCGCCCGCCGGTTGGGGCTGAACCGTCCATCTGGACGGTTCAGGGCACGGTCAGGCCTCGCAGCATAGAGGCCGACCTCTGCCCACCGGCACAAAAGTACCGGTCCAGCCTCATTGAGGCTATTGACCCACCGGCATTCTACCGGTGCGGTATGGTACAGCGCACATTAGCGCTGGCGCTATGTTTAGCGCAGGAGCAGCGAGGAGCAGCGCAGCGCAGCATAGCGCAGCAGCAGCGAGCGGAGCAGCAGCAGTGGTGACTGAGTGTACTGGCGGCCATAGCCGCCTGAGGTATCGGGAGTTGGAGGTCTCTCCTCCCTCCCCTCGTAGGTCCCCTCTCTCTCTCTCTCCTCCTCTGCTCCCTTCTTCTTCTTCTTCTTCTTCTTCTTCTTCTTCTTCTCTTCAGACTTCTTCTTCTTCTTCTTCTTCTTCTTCTTCTTCTCTTCTTCTTGTTCTTCTTCAGATTGGAGACTTATACTAGTTGGACAGAGATCAGGGTTGGACTTCGGTGGTAAGAGGCTGTGGTACTTACCGGGTTCGAGACTTGGAGATTGTTGGGGATGATACTCGGCTGCATCACAGATTGGACACCGGTTACATTAGGACTCTGTATCTCCGACATTGGTGACTTATTGTTCTCGACATTTTGATCTTGCTCGATGACATTTTGGATACCATATCGGTGACCTACTGGTCTCTATCTCGGTGACATTTGGCGCTACCTACATCTCCCCTCCTCCTTCGTCTCTCCTCCCACCTCTCATCTGTGTATGTGCGTACGAGGTCTGGGCATCGTCTATGCTTGGCCCAGACCTCACCATCTCACGATTGTATGTGTGCGGAGTGATATCTATGTGAGTCAGTCCGTTTCTCAGACTTCCGCTGCATATATGCTCATCCTACATTGGTTGATCTTTGGTTCTGCCCATACTCATTGAGGTATGTAACAGCTTCAGACTTGCCCGGGTGACTGGCCGGTCATGAAAATCTTCCTAGAAAAAAAGAAAATAACGTCTGGAGCACTGAACTAGGATGCCACCTCATCAGGTTGATGAGATGGCGTTTTGAGTTATTTGACCTTCTTGTTGTGTGCTTTTTTGGGTGGGTGGGTGGGTGGGTTGGTTGTTTTGCAGGTGCTTTTCAAAATGGACAAGTTTGGCCATGGTTTTGAGATCGAGTACTCTCAGATTGCAGAGAACAAGGGACTGAACTTCATGGGCTTCACAAAGCAAATGTTGCTGGAAATGTGCATTTTCAGCGGATGCGACTATTTGGCCTCATTGCCCGGCTTGGGTCTTAAGAAAGCTTATACCCTAGTCAAGAAGTTCCGTGATTATCGAAAGGTGAGAGGGAGTCGCCCTGCCAGGCTTGCCTGTGATCAATTTTCATTGGTCTTTTTTTTTTTTTTTTTTTTTTTTTTGAAGTTATTGACAAGGCCACCACTCTGGTGGCCGGGACCACTTGCCCGGCCGGACCAAAAAAATAAAAAATAAAAAATATTTTTACTTTTTTTCTAGGTTACCAGCCGGGGTGCCCGGGTCCCGGGTGGCCAGCCCGTGCAAGGACCAGGGAAGGTCCCACCCAAAAAAAAAAAAAAAAATCCCAAAAATCCCCAAAATCCGAAAAAAAACTATGTTATGCAGAAAAATAAAGTGAACAACTTTTGCCTCAGGGTGACATCTAAATTCTTCACCAAATTTAGAAAAAATAAAAATGTATTTTTTTTTTTTTTT